CTCGACCGGACTCGCTCCTGTAAAAATATTAACCACGGGGAATGGGACTTAAAAGTCTCAGTAACCAAAAATTAATATGTAATGATGCATGCGGATGTAACTAATCATGCTATTGCTAAGTGGGCACACAAAACATTTAACCGAACAATATTTTCAAACAAACCGAACAAGTATTTAATTTGCATGACTGCATCTTATATCCTCCTTTCACCATGCTCGGACGCCAAATCACCCGGCCAATGGTGAGTTGGACCAAGCGACACGCCAATCATTGGGTCCAATGAGGGCTTACCACGTGGTAATAATTAACTGAACAGAAATTCCCATTAACACCATACATTAAAATACTCTGACAAGTCATGCATCATTCAAATATCCAAACAAGAATATATCCAAACAATAATATCTCATCATGATAAACAAAAATAAATTTTTAACCCACTTGGCAATAATTTCAAACAAGTATATACAGTATTTATTTTCAATAATTCATAATTTTTCTCAAACAACAAAATAACACATAACCATTCACAAACACACCCATCACAACACATTAATAATGGTTACCTTGTGTCTTGAATAACAAGTTCCCCTTCACAACTCCTTTTTCACCACTATCTTTGTCAATATAATCTACACAATTATTTCACAATACTATATATTAATTTTACATTAAAATAAATAACTCTAATTTAAAGAGTTAGAAAGTCTTAGATCTATAATCCATATTAACACTAATTTAAGATTTATGCCTCATTTAACTTTCTAAATTCTTTTCTAAAATTCTCGCACCCTAATAAACTATTTTTTTTATCCTCAAATCACTTCTAGTATCACAATTTCATCCTTCTATATTCTAAAAATTCATCCAAAAATAAATTAAAAATTTTAGAATTATTCTGAAACCTCAAATCACCTTTCTATAACCTCAAAAATACCTATTCATACTTAAATAAATATTTAATAATCAGAGATTTATCCCTACATCTCAGATCCCACATAAATTCAACCATATAAATCTAGATTTTAACTCAAAAATTCTTAAACATGAGTTTCAACCTCAAGAAAATATTCTATAATATTTATTATATCCCTAAGAGTTTTAACCTATATTTTTAATCTATCATATCATCAGATTAACTATCCTATAGAAAAATCCTAATCAAAATATTTACTCTATCCTACAAAATAATCATATCACTAGAAAGCTAATATTATTTAGAAAATAACTATAAAATTAATTTTGTAATTAAATAAATTTTTAAATGCTAATCTAAACAGGAAAGTTAGAACATACCTGAAGAAAAAGAAAATAATCCCCCCTTGCGAGAAAACGCCGAGCAACGTGAGAGGAAGAGAGAAAAATAATATAAAAATGGGATTGTGAGTCCCAAAATTATATTAAAAAAAACTATAGGTTTGAATTTAATTATTCAAACCTTTGGGCCAAAAGTTGCAATTTTCTCTAAATTGCATCTTAGCCTCTCATGCTTCCTAATGCACACACCCCCCTCCTTTTTACACATGAAGGCACCTATTCTCTTCCCTCATCTAACCAATGTGGGACTTAGAAACAACAACCTTTCACCCCTTTTTTTTTGTTCCTTCTACCTTTTCTTTTTTTTTTCAACACATACATAAAAAAATTATTTATGTATTATATCTTAACTAAATATTGCTTATGTGGTTTTAAATTTAAATTTTTAAATTCATAATTAAATACCTAATCATAATATTATTTCTAAATAATCTCAAATAATATAAATTCCTATTATTATCATTTTTTTTCCTCAAAACCTAAATTCCACAATTTCTTTATTATATAAAAATCAGGATGTTACAGATTCCATCAAGAAATTAATTAAATAATCATGTTTTAAGTTGAATGCTCATATTTGATATAATTGTTGCAATATAATGGCTGTTATTTATACTACTATGGCATCAAGGATGAATCTGGAAACAGCTTATATAGAGCTAGAAAAACAGGCTAGTACTTGAAGGGCTCGGGCCTAAAAGGGCTAGCATTTTTAAGCCCAAATTCCCTTTAAAACTCTGACATACATAGCTTGGCTCTCAACATAGCAAGCTCAAGCCTCAAGGTTAGCCTGTGGGCTCCAAGCCCTCTTAACTATTTTTATATTTTTTTAAATTTTTTAATCAAATAAAAAATTACTTCATTCCAATATACTACCAAATCAAAAAAGGTATGAAAAAACTAACCAAATAACATTTAAATGAACTAAAAATACAAATGAAATAATAGTAAGGCAATAAACAATGGATTGGTCAAACCAACAAACACCCAATTAAAATTAAATGAGATTGAGCCTTGAAGGACTGAGATATGGGGCTAGGAGATCAAGGAAAACAAAGAGCACGGGCACAATATGTGCATCAGATAGAGCTTAGCTCATGAGTCATGAATGCACAAGCATGATAAGTAATAGGAGAACTTGAGAGATCAATAACAATGAGCATCAATTAGTCGAACATTGTTGAGATTTGGTTCTTGGAAAGGAGCACTATTGGAGTGAGCAATAGAGATGACTGAAGAGTGAGCAAAAATAGGAGCAAGGATGACTTGTGAGTTATGATGATGGGAACAGGGACGGCAATGTGATGACTTGCTAAAGAGCAAGGACAACTTGTAACGGCAAAAATGAGAGAAGCATATTGAAGAAAGAAAAGTAAATGTTGAATTAAATAAATCATTATTGTGAATCTAGGTGAATTAGGAGATTTAAGGTTGTATTTTTTTAAAAAAAAAGCAACCAAGGATTTCTGTATGAAATTTATATCAATTAAAAATCAATTATTGTCAAAACCTAAATGAAAAACAAGTTACAATGAACTATTATTTAATTTAAAACGAGTTGTTATTAAAATCTAAATGAATACTTATTTATAAAGGTTAACCCAAATCCACAAATATCCACTCAAATTTTAACGACAAGTGATCTTTAACTGATATAATTTTTGATCAATGATTATTCATTGCTATTTTTTCTTTTTTTTTTTGCCTTCCATCCTTAATAGATATGGGCTGACATGTAATATGGAGTAAAATTTAGTTTAATTTTTTTTAAATCTAAAAAGAGTAAAAGTCATGAAAATTAATTAAAAAAATATGCACATTCGAATTTAAATGGGCTGGCCTTCGGCCCTGCAAGGCCAACCCATTTAACCCTTAATTAAACGGGCTTAAATAAGTTAACCCGTTTAAGCTCGATTTATTATTTTAAAGTCATATTTATAAGCCAGATCTTACTATTATATGAGTTTAAATGAGCTGACTGACAAACTCAGCTTGTTTTTCTGCCCCTAAGCTTATGCTATTTATATTACTATAATGGATCGCTTCAGCTGGTTGAAGTTTAAAAGCTGGATTTCAACCATTAACGGTATTTCTGATTGGGCCCATCACCAGATTTAGGGTCAAATTTGCACATTGAGAATGTGATTGTAAAGAGGCATTTTTCCTGCCGGCCACAGGAGAAAATGCATTTTTTCATCACGACACTGGTCTTTTTTTTTTTTTGGGCATGTAGTGAATAGAAAAAACTGAGCAGCTCCCAAAACAAAACGCGCGCGCGCGCCCCCTGCTCTCCTTTGGTACTAAATGTATGAGTTAGGTAATTAATTTATAAAGATTAAAAAATCAGTTAATTTAATTATTTGTAAAAATGCATGTTGATTTTTCTGAATGCCTCACCCAATCGCTTTTGTTTAAAGTTATTTTTATAGTTGCAAACCGCTTTAAAATGTGCCGTCAATAACAATAATTTTAAAAATATTGCTTTAAATTTGGGATTAAAATTTTACATCTTTTTGTTTTACAAAATATCCTTACTATCCACAACTATGAGATTAATATTTTAAAGAATCTAAGCTATTTAAAGGATTTTCATTTCACAGGCGATAATTTCCATATACCTTTTATCATAGTCTATGCTATTTCTATTTGTATTCCATACAAAATCTTATTTGTCATTATTTTCAATGACTTTATTTTTAGAATAATTACTATCTAATTTTTTATCTTTTTTCTCTTCATTATCATTAATAGCAAAATCGATGTATATTTAAAATCATCTAAATATCATATTTTTATCGAGCGAAGAATAAATGATATGATGTACTGATTCCATGCAAGATTTTGTAAGAATTGTGATTTTATCAAAAAACTTATCTCCATTATTTTAAAATATGTTTATATATATCATACCACACTCCTTTAAGGTATGTTTGGTTGGAGGGAGTTGAAATGTCCCCTCCCCTCCCATCATCTTGGCCCTCCAAATTGAGAGTTTTTTGAAATGAGCTAAATTTTTGATTATTTTACCGTCATTCAATTTTTTATATTTCATATATGCCTCAAGCAAAAAAAAAAAAAAATTCCTTCATTCATGTGTGCAACTTCTCCTACCACCCCCTTCCATTCACAACTCTGGTGATTTTTTTCTTTCTTTTCAATTTTTTAATATCTCTCTTGTATATATTTCTAATTTTTCTATTGCCTCCAATTTTTATAATGTTCCTTATTGAAAGTTTTTTATGATGTATGATTCCTTGACATAAAAGAATTTATTGTCAGTAGCCAACACATGAAAATTTTTCATAGGGCGTTGATTTTTTTATATAATTATTGATGAAAGTATCACTTATTTGGGCATAAAAAATTTTAAAAATTGATAAGATGCTTTTTTAAAAAATAATTATACATATAAAATTAATTTGCATGACAAAAAGTTAAAAAATTAAATCTTTTTAACATAAGGGTATGATACTAACTTAATCATTACCTCCTCTCCTCTTTTCTTTTAAACTAAACAAATAATCATTGAAAATCTCTCCCTTTTCTTTCCCTCCAACAAATTCAAATAAAGTGGTATAAAAATATGTCCCTCTCCTTAGAACCGAACCAATCACATCCTTGGACTTTTAAAGGAGGTAGTGTACTTATCCCCAGTTGATGTAATGCAGGGGTGCGAGTGTGTGGCGTCCTTTATGAGAAGGGTTAGCCCTTCCGGACCATTCTCACGCCCGTGCAAGAAGGCCACGTGTCACGAGGTCAGGTGTTACTTAAAGATGAAAGCACTGACTGGGAAACAAAGTTGGTGGCAGTGGGGATGGCTGAGGCTGAATTTCCCGGCTCCAACGATGGAGGCCGCCTGAGTACTTCCAAATTCCAGATCATGTAAGATTACATCATTATCCCATTCGTCCTTTCTCAGACTTCTTTCCAACCATTTCGGACTCATAATACCAATCTACACCTTTGACCTGCTTGCTAATTTCGAGACTTTCAGCAGTCGTTCTTTCAGTAGTCAAGGTTAGATTCTCCATGTCTTCCCGGTTGCAATCTTCTCTTCGTTTGTTGATTCCGCTTATTTATAGGGTTCGCTGCTTCACACGCATCTACAATGTTTTTAGAATGTAAACCTGTCATTGGCTATAGCTATAGAATACGATGACGTCCGATCGGCATTCTTGATTTGTGCTATGCGGTTTCGGGGTTCTCTGGATAACTCTATGGCCTAACCGTGATGCATTTAGATTGTAATTTGCGTAATAGATGTGGGCATGTTTGAATTGACTGTAAATTTGACTGGAGGCATTGGATTTAAGCCGACACTAGATGTGCTCAACGTTGATGTGAGAGGTTTTATGATCTGAAAAGAGTGCTTTTGATTTTCATCCCAACAAAAATAAAATAGGCAAATTTATAATTGAACGAAAGTTGATTTCGCTAGCGGGGTTGATTACTATGTACACATCTTTTTGCTCGAAAATATCTGCATTGATTTTCTCCACAAAATCTCATGATTCTGCCTTATTCGAGCCAAATGCTACAACACCCGTGACTCTTTTCGTTCAAAAATCACTACTTTATCACTCAGAATGTGGTATTGTTGATTGTTTATCAAATCAACGCCTCCCAGGATGCAGTTGTTTTTTTTTTTTTGGGTATAAAATTAGGTGTGGATGCGGCATCACATATTCAAACCTTATTCAGAGGCTTAATTCAAGATATGTGCTGCGTATATTTTAGAGTTTCGTAGTTATAAACCATTTTTTCTGGTTAAACCAAAACTTTTTCAATCAACGCATTCCTCTCTCAGAAGCAGTTGAAAAGGATTAACATGAAGGGTCACCAGATTGTTCCTAGTGTAGGGTAGCGGTAGTTTATTTTCTTCCTCAGTGTTAAGAAAAAAAAAATGGTAGGTAGTAAAAGAGTGCTAATTGGCAGTTTGGCACCAAAAGTTTAGTTACAAACCTTTAAAAAATTTGTAACAATACGTGTCTATTGCTAGTTTGATACATATGAAGCTTGTTTTACTCTACGAGGACTACATAGTCTATACCGTCAAAAGCATCCCGTCTGAGGCCAGAAGATGAAATCTTGTGTAGGAAAGCCTTATGAAGCTATGTCTAGACGATTTTATTTCTCTTACCGGCCATCATTCTTGGTTAAGGAGCATGTTGGTTACTTAAAAATCCTCAGTGCAAAAAGCATTCAGCAAGGGCAACTGGGCAAGGGGTTGAAGTTCCATTGATGTAAAAATTAGATATTTTGTTGATTTGTAAGTGGCTAATTGTGCGAGAGTTGCAGCCAATCTGCATATTTAGCTATTGGATCAAAATGAAGCACCATGTAACAATTGCTATTATGCTGTAATTACTCAGACTGCAATACACTGTTACTGACTTTTGAGGTGTTCATTGTTGATCAATAGTTCTTCTCAACCACCATGAGCGTGGATCTAAATAAAACTGCCTCCAATGGTCGTGAGAAAATGTTAACATCACAGGAGCAACAGGCAAAGGTATTAGATTGCTCTTTCGGTAGATCAATTAATATACATATGCTTTTACTATGTTCTTAAATGTGAGAATTGAAATTAATATTAGACTGCAATATTCTGACTTCCAAGTCAAGAAGCATCTAGGCCATGATATTTTGCTTCTTTCCAGATTAATGAGGCGAGACGGCTGATAGGACCATTGTCAGGTAGGTCATCTGTTTATTGTTCTGATGCATCCATCTCCAGGCATTTAAGAGCAAGAAATTGGAACGTCAAGAAGGCAGTAAAGATGTTGCGACAGACCTTAAAATGGAGAGCTGCTACTAAACCAGAAGAGATCCGATGGGTGAGAAACTGTTTGTCTTCACTTTTTCCAGTAACATTATGAACAAAATGCATGGCTGGGTGAGAAACTGTTATCTGGATGCTATTACTAGGTCTACTTCAAGGTTTTCTCTGGATCTTGGTTAAGCACATCAAACCATGCATACGATCTTCCTCTATTCCTTCTATTCTTGCTTCTTTTTCTAGAGCTTTGTCCAGCTGGATTCAACTAGACTCCAAAGTGCTCTATCGAATCTCTTTGCCATCTGTAGGCTTATTAAACTAGTTCTGATCAAGATTCTACCTAAACTAGCATCGATTAACCATGTTAATTTTTATTCCTTAAGAGTGACTATATGAATTCAGTTGGATTGTTTATGATCTGCAAGAACTCTGGACTTGGTTGAACTCTCTTTCAGTGATCTTCCTTTGATAAAAGGTGTTTAATGTGTATCTGTTGGTAATGTAGGAAGAGGTTGCTCATGAAGCAGAAACAGGAAAGATCTATAGATCCAACTACATTGACAGGCATGGGAGAACAGTTCTTGTAATGAGACCAAGCCGCCAGGTTTATCATGAAAAAAATTACTTCAACCTCTAGCATGTTTCTGTTAACAGGTGCCTAATTACATTAACGTTGGATATTTTGGTGTAGAAATGAAAATGAGGGCTTTTTTTCCCCATTCTGTTTAACTGCTTTTTTAAATTTTATTCCTACTATTTTCACCCTCTCACCGCACAGCCTAAGTAAACAGAGTGGTTACAGATGTCTAATGTTTGAAAGACTAATAAAGTTTAACTAATGAGAAATGCCTGAACAACTTGTTACAATTCAATTTATTGCTTTGAGAAGAATATTTTTATCCGCAGTTAGTTTATTTATATCTGTTTTCTTTTTTCTGGAATTCAGAATTCTAAGTCAACTAAAGAGCAGATTAAATATTTGGTATACTGCATGGAAAATGCTATTTTAAATCTTCCACCAGACCAGGAACAGATGGTCTGGCTAATTGATTTCGAAGGTTTCAATTTGTCAAATATATCAGTCAAGCTGACTCGCGAAACTGCCCATGTATTACAAGACCATTATCCAGAGCGGCTGGGTCTGGCAATACTTTTCAACCCACCCAAGTTCTTTGAACCATTTTTCACGGTAAGCTACATAGCTATGCTCATGCTTTCAATATCTTCTGTTTCATGTTTATATATCGCATGCGCCTTTGAAACATGTATAATTTATCTGTACACGTGTTGATGTTTTAGATACAACCTACTAGTTGATGAGAATATTTGGCCATCTCAGATCCTGACTATATCTGAATGAGATCAAAAGGCCACTTCGTTCACAAGGAAATAAATGTTCTTCTTGCTTACATTTCGAGCCAATTTAAGTTGTGGACATTTCCTGATAGTGATGTTTCGGCCTTTCTGTACATCTAAGCATGCAAATCATCTTTGCTTCTGTCACTCTAAACTACTTTGCTTGTTTTTGGAACTTTTAAATACGCCGGGGGGGGGGGGGAATTTTATTGACGTTTCTCCTAATTGATGCATTTCTTACTAGCTGTGATAGATTAATTTTTCTAGTTCATGGCTGATTTGAAGTTTGATGCTGCAAATAAAAAAAGGCTTTCTTTTTCTAAAAAAAAAAATTGATTTTAGTTTTAAATGTTTTAAAACATGGACTTTTAGCATTTTGTGATGTCAAGGCATGGATTTATTGCTTGCTACAGATGGTAAAGTCCCTGTTGGAGCCTAAAACATATAATAAAGTCAAGTTCGTTTACTCTGATGACCAAAACACCAAAAAAATTGTGGAGGATCTATTTGACAAGGACCGTCTCGAGTGTGCATTTGGTGGGAATGATGTTAGAGGTTTTGACATAAATAAATATGCTGAGAGAATGAAAGAGGATGATCAGAAGATGCCCTCTTTTTGGACAAGGGCGGACTCTCCATCCGCTGACCCACAGGCTGCTCCTTCTCTTGATTCCATCAAGTTAGGCCCTCATGCTGATGCTTCTGACAAGAAGACCACCGACGGTACACCTAAAGAAGAGTGAAATGCCGTGGGAGATGTGTCTTCGAATGAGAAATTTCATTCGCCGAGCCTTTCTGAAGGTTTGCTGACTGCTGAGTCATCCCTATTGCAGCACGATTCTCTAACGTTCCAGTTTGAAACTTGTAGTGTAGAGACCTACTTTCAAATTTATCTTCTTGACTTTGTAATGACAAATGATTTTACCTTGTGGATTGAAGATGCTGCTAATCTTCTAAACGTTTCGATCGAATTTATGTATCAAGCTGTCATGTGCTTCTATTGGAGCGAACAATCCATCTGCTTTTAACACCCCTTCACAAGGGTTGTACTATAAGCAGTTATGCCCCTTACCACTGGGCAACATACAAAATTGAATTAGGGGGATTTTGTGCAAAGATGAAAGATATATAGGTGACGCGCTTAATAGTCATTTGAACTTTCTTTTTTCTATGGTTATTTTATATATAGCCTTTTAATTCCCAAAAACAAAAATGATGCAAGTTTTGAGTATGAGGAGCAAAGACAGGACTGGCATTTAAGCAATAAAATGGGAGTTTATCGGTGTTTCCTTTTCCCATTTTAATGGGAAAAATTAATTAAATAATATGGTGGAACAGACAGGTGAACAATCAAGGATTGCAGAATTCACTCCACAGTGGAGCTTCGTCGTGCTTTCGAGTACGAAATGCGAGAAGTACACGAGTGAATTTACCTGGAAGAGGTTTATATTTGAGAAAATGATATTAAAATTTTCTTGAAATATATAAATAATAATTAAATTTCTAAAATATCATAATTCTTCTAAATATTTAATAATTTTTCTGTTATTAAAAATTTATATAATCATCAAATTACCATTATTAAAAATAAATAATTCATAAATTTTATTTAAATATTCACAATTTTTTTATATTCATAATAATAAAATAACAAATTACAACTTATTAAATTTTTTATTTGGTGTAATGATTAATGCTTTGAGCCTGCCATATTAAATAAAATTTACACCCAAAAAAAAATGCAAAGTATAAGACGTTAGAGTCTAGCCAACATGTATTGCAACGATTTTTAAGACATCATGTACGATGCATTCAATTGTGAATACAGCGTCGTTAAGATTATCCACCGTCGATGTAGCATACATGAATTGTTTGGCCATTGGGTCGGAAATTATTTTTGACTAGTGATATATGGATATTTTCCACTAAGCCTCAGGAAAGTCAGTGCACCCATCTCTCACATTATTTCCAGATAGTGGCGCCGATCTCGAGAGAGAATAAAGCAACCGATTGGAAACCGGCACTTTTAGGTTTTAATAAATCAACACAATCATAATTTGCTGAGTCCAGATATCAAAGAATAGATCATCACAACATCACGCAATCCACGTACCTAATACTTTTTGTAATGTAAGTTACTAGCGCTCATTAACTCGCATGCATAAATTCAGAATGTCAAGATAACATTCCACAAGATTGAATCAAGTAGCATTTAGGAAACCCAATCCAAGATAAATAAATTTGAAAGGCAACGCAGGTGCACCGCAGATTAGCTGAACTAATTTTCTTCATCAAACACCTGGTATTGCCTGAGGATCTCAGCACAGCCAGAATCGGCCTCGGTCTTCATGTAGCCCAGAGAATTGGCAAATCGGTCGTCAGATGCGATCCCATTGTTGCGAGTAAGAATAACACGGGCTTCATCGCGTCCAGGGGCGGCTTCCTGACAGTTAGTCTGAGGACTGCTCACAAGCTTGGCATTGCAAATATGATCTTCATGATCCTCATTCACAAAGATTTTGTAAGTTCCCGTCGAGTCAGTCACGCCCTTCTTAGAGAACATAACTTCCGCTGTATTCCTGTCCTTGCATTCCACAATAACCTCAGCACCTGGGATGAATTATAGACCAAAAGTTAATGCAGATCCCAAGCATCGAAGAATATAAATATAGATTCCATGAGACGGAGGCGATAAAATGCAAATGTCTCGTACGATGATAATAGTTATTTTATGAAGATCAGATAACTAAAGGGATGAAGTTATATCAGCTAAGCCGAACCGGAATGGCCATGATTATACAGTCAGAAGAATCAGTGCAGGATGGGAAGGCTAGATAAACGAAATCAAAGGAGGGCAGCATTTTAGATATGAAGTCCATTTATAGCTACTTGAATCCAAACCGAAGCAGCGGATCGTCGCAAATTACATATATTAATTAGTGAAAGGAATTAGCTCGCAATGAATAAAAAGAATCGTATAAAAAATAAATCATCCAAGATCATTAGCAGCCGCAACCATGTAAAATGTGAAGTTTAAACAACAATGTTCTTTTTAAAAAATAATGATTGGGGAGGCAGGATGACTGCGGAAAACAACTGACGGCGTAAATTTCTAATACGTATGGGCAGGAAGAAGAGAGGGAAGTAAGGAGCATAAGCTAACGATCCAGATCTAAGAGATAGCGTGCCATAGAACAGTTGATAGTAGTTTTAAAAGATTCAACGAAGGAGGAGAAAAGAGAGGGAAAGAGAGGGAAACATAGAAAAGGGGAGAGAGAGAACCGGGAATGTAGGTCGTGACAGAGGTCTCGAAACCAGCACGGCAAGCGTCACAGTAGACGCGGCCCTGGACGCAGAAGGGGTTCTTGTGAAGGCGGATGGCGGCGACCATGGAAGGAAGAACGCACAATAGGAAGAGCAAAGCTGGTCCGGAGGCCATCTCAGGGTTTCAGCTTCAGAGATCGCGACGGGGGCAAGAGGACGGAGTGTGAGAGGAATAGAGACACCGAGACAGACAGAGTAATAAATGCAGAGTGAGAAGAGTGTCGATGAAGGGATGAAGCTCGGGAAGCGCGTGAGAGGGGTGTGATAGGGTGCGGTGCGGGCACAGGAAAGGAGACGCGTCGCATGATTAAAGATTAAGTGTGTGTTTGGATAGGGGAAAATTTTTTCCTTTCAAAATCGATTTCTTCATTAAATTAGCCAAACGATCAGAAGAGGCGAAAATTGATTTTTGACTCCCATACGCACATTTTTTTGTAAGCTATTTTGATCAACTTTTTGATAGACGTTTGTAAAAAATATTGGGAAAAATTATAAAACAGGTTCAGAAAAAAATTACAAAAAAAACACATAATTTAATAAAAAATAAAATTAAACTCTCTTATTTTTCTTTTTTCCTTAATAAAATTTAAACTATATATTTAAAAAATTAATATTTGATATTTAAAAATTAAATTATATAGTAATTTATATTGGTAAAAATTAATTTTAATTAAATTATCCAAATATCTTTTAAAATTAATTTTAAAAAATAATATCCAAATAAATTACGCTATAACATAATTAATTATGATTAAAATTTACTATTTAATCAATTATTTTTATAATTTATTACACGAAATCCAAACGGATCCTAAAGAGAGAGGCGGTGGGACTTGGGAGGCGGGACGAGTGATTGATGGAATGCAGCTGGCTGTGTCGGTGCCCCCATGTGCGCTCACCCAATCAAAGCCCATGCCTTCTTGGCGCCAGCTGCTTTCCTTTCTATGAATTCAATTCAACTTTTACCCAAAACAAAATGTTGAATTCAACCTCCTTAATAAATTGCTTTTCTTTTTCTTATAACAAAAAAAAAACATAATTTAAATTTAAATTATTTTTTAACATTTTACTTAATTTTATATAAAATTTTAATTTTATAAAATATTTTTAGAGTTTTCTACTCTTCCTATTATTTCTTTTAAATAATTATTTTATATATTAATTATTATTATTTTAAAAAAATAAATTTAATAGTTCAACAATTCAATTCCTATCAATTAAATTGAGTCTTAATTATTATCTTCTTTGAAAAGTTTGTACTATTTTCTTTTGCCCGCGTTTGTATTATGTAATTTATATCAATTCTGATTTTATTAAATATCCTTGTCATTGATCATCATTTCATGTCATACTACTCTCATCACTTTTAATATATTTTATTAATATTAAAAAAATTTTAAAATTTATTAATTTTATTTTAAAATTTAATAAGTTTTGAACTCTATTCCTATTAAATATACACTTTTAACACCATATTTTCTCTCTCCAATATTTAATAAAAATAAAAAATTTATAATAAAAATTTAATATATGATTTATAAATAAAATTAAAATTTCTAACCTATAAAAGAAAGTATTTCCGGTCACGATTATCACCGCTTCTTTCCCCACCCCTTCCCCCTTCATCATGTTTTAGTTTTTTAATACATTTATTCGTTAATGACTTCGTTGTTAATTTCTAATTATCATCGTTATATACCTAACATTAAAATTAGAATGCACTTAACGTGAACTTACTGCTTTTCTTGCATAGTTGCGTTTCTCCCTTACAATAAACTAAATTTTTATGCCGCGTGCATAAAATTTAAAGTAGATATAAAAAAAGGGAAGATAATATTTTAATGAGTTCAGTTTTTTAAAAAAATAGATAAATATGTTATAAAAGTTTATTTGAGAGACGTAAAAAAAATCAATTAAAAACTTTCTAACCACCATTCTTCATTTTTTTAAATTAAGATCATCAAAATTTAAAATCTCACCTCCCAATCATTTTCATTAATCCAAACAAATTAGAAAATTAATAGACATTAAATTATGAGTAAATATTACTTTAATAATTTTATAAAAATAATAGTTTATAGAAAGTGTGAAATAAAATTGTATATATGGTTATAGATAAATAATTATAGTAATAATAATAATTAATTATAATTTTTTATTTCCCCAGTATATTTGAGATTAAAAATAGAAATAAAAAATAAATTTTTCCCATAAAATTTGTTATCCCATATATTATCAAATATAGACAATAATTTATTTTAATCTATGAATTGTTATATCCATGTAAATTAAAATGTTAAACATACAATAATTAAGAAAATTTTAAAACATAGAGTGCCTTGTAATAGAACATTTTTCTTTTAAATTGTATGATCATCTTATTTTATTTTAGTATTAGCTATACATAACAAAAGAAGAATAAAAATTATTTTTCTTTGAAAGAGATGTTCACATTTAATACTCGATTGTACCTCGAATAAAATTATTTTTAATAAAAGAATACTTATTAACAATAAAAAAATAGATACTAATAATTTGTTTTATGCTTACACAAATTATTTTAAAATATGATATCATGTGTATATAAAAAATATAAACTTTTTATATGTGATCTCTACATAAATTAAAATTTAGAAAACATATTCTAGTTAAAAATTTATTACTTGTAAATATAAATGACCACTTATTTTATTTAAAAATTTCTTATACTTGTGCATATAAAAAAATGCAAATAACACTTTTTTTATATGATTATCTAACTAATTCAAATTCAAGTATTGTTCAACATAATTTAAAATAGTTCTTTCAAAAAATTTTTATATTCACACAATTTTTTATTATATAGTTTTTTTACCTCTTCATCAGCTTATTTTTTATATATTAAAAACATACACAACATTTTATAAACAAATTTATTACCCTTACACTTTGTTATTAAATTTAAAAATTGTTAAAAATACTATCATTTAATATAGATTATAACTCATTCTATTTTATAATTTATTATTTAATGCATATTTAAAAAGGGATGATAAAATTTACTTCAATAACAACTTAGTCCTTCAAGTTTATCTCAATAATAATTTAGTCTTTTAAGTTTGCCTCGATAATAAGTTAGTTCTTTAAATTTATTATTTGAAAAAGAGGTAACATGATGTTAATATTTGTTGATATAGATAAAAAAAATATTGAATTAATAGTCATGTAAATTAATGATTTAACAAAATTGACTTAAAGGCAAAATTATTGTTATTTAGCCATATATAATATGTCAAGTTATCGCATACTTTATACATGAAATTAATTTAATGATCAATTTTTGTTTCAAAACCTAAAATATTAAAGTAACAATTTAAGAAAATGTTAAGTAATTAAATTGATAAAAATTAAAATTTAGAAAATAAATTAATAATTAAGTAAATTTGAGAGACTTAAAGTTTTATTTTTTTTGAAAAAAATAAACAATGTGCTTTATTTTAAAATTCATTACCCCATGAATATTAAATATATGAACACCAACTTACTCTAGTTTAAAATTTGATGTACAGGATAACAAATTAAAATACATCTTATGCCTAAAAATAAGTAATTTATTTTATAAAAAATGTTTTATTCTATAATTTTTTTTCCTATGCATGTAGGCCTCAATTTCAATGGATGTAGACTTGAATTTTATAATTTATAAAAATTAAATTTATATCTGACAACAATTCAATTAAATTAAACATTATTATCATACTGCATGTGACACACTGACATTTATTAAGTGATAGCATTTGTTTTGATCATTAAATTTAAATATGATATATCTCACAAAATCACTATAGTTCTATCATATATAATCCTTTGGCAAACTTTACTACTATATTTCCTCAATTTTTAAATATGAGCAAAATTTTATACAATTTTTGTTATTTTTTACAAGTAAAAAATAATTTTCAAAAAGCATTCATGGCATCTTTTCTTAATTACGCTTCATTAAACGATAGTAGTACTAAATTAGGAAAAAATAAAATATTAATCATAAGTACATCTTAATCCAAACTTTTTAATGTTGGGCATAATTATTAAGATTAGTTAATTTTTTAAACTATATGAATTGATTAAAATTTACTCATATAAAAATGAATGGGAATAAATTGATTGATTTAAATAATAAAAATTCTATTTTATAATTTATTATTTAAATTTGTACACTATATACAATTAATTATCAGCTAAAGTATATATTTAGTCTTTTAATTTTATTTAATATTTTATTTTAATCCTTTAACTTTATAAAGTGTCACTTATAAAAAAATTTTATAAAATATTTTTTAATCCTTTAACTTTAACAATGTCAATTTTATCTCAACAAATTTTTATGTTCAACTTTCAAAATATTAATAAAATATTTTTAAATATTGACATATTAAGTTTAATTTCTTTTAAAATAATAATGATTGATGCAAAAAATAATTATTTAAAACTAACGATGTTAGAATTAAAGAACTAAAGAGATACTTTATAACATTAAAGCATTAAATTAAAATTTTATATAAAGTTAGATAACTAAAAGTATACTTTAGTCATTGATTATCTCTTACATTTGCAAAATCAAAAAATAGATCTCATACATATTATTTTTTTATAAGTCTCATATTTAAAAGCATTTTTTTACCATGAGTTCCACGCTTATTTTTTTAATTTGTATGTTATATACAATTAATTATCCGATACATATATAAAATACAAGCAATAGATGATAAATCTCCTAAAAAAAATCTCATACATATTTTTTATGAGTCTCATATTTAAAACCATTTTTTACTATGAATTCCACGCTTATTTTTTAATTTGTATGTTATATACAATTAATTATCCGATACATGTACAAAATTCAAGAAACAAATGATAAATCTCCTACATTTAAAAAAAATTAAATCTCATACATATTATTTTTTTATGAGTCTCATATTTACAAGCATTTTTTGCTGTGGGTTCCAAATTTATTTTTGTAATCTGTATCTTATATACAATTGATTATCTTATACATATACAAAATAGAAGTAACAAGTGATAAATCTTCTACATTTACAAAAATATTAGATCTCATATAAATTATTTTTTAATGAGTCTCATATTTATAAATAATTTTTACTATGGGTCCCACACCTATTTTTTAAAATTTTTTATCATAGGTTCTATATAAAGTATAAACTCTTTTAATT